AAGACGTATAATGTAAGATGTGGATATATATCCTATACTGATACATAATATAGATCAGCGATATTCATATATAATGTATGCATCTTATATAAATATGTAGTATGTATCATATGAATTATATCGTAAAAATCTTAAAATATACAGGATGCACTCTAAAGCAATGATGAAAGTAACAAAGAATTATAGAACATAAGGGGACAGCAGGAGATAAAAACTATTCAGTTAAGCTTAAAGAAGGTAGAAAAAGAGGAAGAGGAAAAAAGGAACCATGAACATACACAATAATAAAAGCACTTAATGTGTGCCGAGCTACATCGCAACCACTACACAAAGTAGTATTTGTTGATTTCAAAATTGTTAATGGCGTTGAGTTTTGAATTGTGTAGTAACTATAGGAAAAGAAAATATGACGCGGGATTAGGGATTTCAGAGATGCTGTATTTATGGTGGAAAACAAGCATTCATTCTAGTTACTTAGTCAAGGTCAGCCAAGCTTCATTATTTTTTTTTTCATTGACATTATAAGCAATCATTTTTGGTATAACATCAGCTTTAGTAATCCCAAAGCCTCTCCAATATATCTTTGTTATACCTGGCAGTTCAGTTGTTTTATGTATTCCTTTATGAGATTAAGATACCTCTGTGATAACATGCCTTTTGTATTGATTTACTTTTACAAACTCTAAATAAAAATTTGTTGAAAAGCATCATTTTAACTTCCTCCTTCCTGCAGTGCATAAATCACAGCGGAGCTTAAAAGACCTGCCAATTTGGGAAATAAAGGTGCTTTTGTGTTTGGGTTTACATTCCCAGCATGATCTAATGCTAATACCTGCTTGCATTTATATTCGTGTTCTTGATGTTTGTGGGGGAGATTTTTTTAGAACAAAACGGAAGCCTTTGTTTCACCTTGCTTCAAGAGAGGGAAAAAAAAAATGGGAAAAAGCCCAAATCTCCAGCCAAATTGTAAGTTCCTCTGAAATTCACACTCTGCAAAGTGAAAAAAGCCATGGGATTTAAGCTACATTTTACTCATTCCTGTTCTCTCTGCAATCATGTTCAAAAATCAGTGAACTAAGTCTGCTAGAACAAGATCTCAGGTGTTTGTCTTGGAATCATGAGAAATTGTTCCACTCTCCTGGTTTCCTGGTGACAGGAAACAAAATCACTCCCTCGGGTATTCACGGTTCTTCCCTCCTTCTCTAGCTTTCTTGTGTATTACGGGTAAGGAGGAGCTTTGATGTTCTGACACTGAAAATGGCAGACACTTACTTGTGAATGAGAAGTAACTCTCAGCCACCACGGAAGTGATGTGTGTTGATTTGAACACCTAGACCTGTCAGCTGAATGAGTTGAGAGAAAATGACAAAGGTCAGCGTAGGTTAGTTTGGAAAAAATTTAGGGGAGTTTTCAAGCAAAGAAAGAGTCCACCCCCCACCCCAACAGCTGCCTAGCTTGAGAGAAGGGAGGATTCCAACAAGCTTTTGAGTAATAGTTACATTTCATGTCAAGTATTTTTTGGCCGTTGGACTGGTACTTCATTAAATGTGATGTCACTTGGAACCTGACCAGTCACCACTGGGCTTTATATAGATGAGACTCGGGGGGACCTGGGTGTTCTGGCTGAAGTTGTCTTCCTTGTTTTAATTTAAAGGGCAGTGGGCATTGTCAGGGTTATTGACTCTGGGAGGACTTCAGCATTGAGGGCACTTCTCAATTGGCCTTACCATGACCTCCAGCATCTGTTACCTCAATCTCGGTAACGTGTTCTTTTGGGGTTTCATTCCATACGGAAAATGCCAGGGAGGTCTTCCGTCCTCTAATCCAATCTCACCTGCTCTTTATCCCAGAAAAAGGACCACACTCTTTCCTGTTTTCAGGGTTTTTTTTTTTTTTAAGATTTTATTTATTCATAGAGACAGACAGAGAGAGGCAGAAGCAGAGACAGAGAGAGGCAGAAGCAGGCTCCATGCAGGGAGCCTGACATGGGACTCAATCCAGGGTCTCCAGGATCACCGCCCGGGGCTGCAGGCGGCGCTAACCTGCTGCGCCACGCCACCGGGGGCTGCCCGGTGTTTTCCAGGGTTAATGCTGAAGTTCTCTTACTTGTGTATTTCCAGGTGTAAGACATTGGAAACATTTCAGGATGGAGTGGTTGGATGTGGGGAGTTAAATGTTCAGGCTCACATGGCCATCTTGAATCAGAAGCATACCCTTAATTTGTACTTCTTAGTAAAAGGGAAAGAAAGATGAAGAAGCTTGGGGGAACGACTGCTTCAAGGCAAATGATTTGGGAGTATCATGTTAAGCATGACTTACGGCTTTACAAGAATGTGATTCTTCGGGCACGCGTGTGTCTCTGATTTTGACTCATGACTCACGGCGTGTGACACCGAGAAAGAGGGTGGCAGCGCAGAGCCGGGGGCAGAGGCACAGGATGGTCTGTGTCAGGATCCTCTAAAACTAAGGTGCAAGTTGTACTGGTTAAGTGAATCGAATTGTTACTTAACATTCTGGGTTTTTAGGGATCCCTGGGTGGCGCAGCGGTTTGGCGCCTGCCTTTGGCTCAGGGCGCGATCCTGGACACCCGGGATCGAGTCCCGCGTCGGGCTCCCGGTGCATGGAGCCTGCTTCTCCCTCTGCCTCTCTCTCTCTCTCTCTCTGACTCTCGTAAATAAATAAAAAATTAAAAAAAAAAACATTCTGGGTTTTTACAGAGAAAACTGTAGCTTCCACTGTGGTGCCGGGTTCTCACGGAGCTAAGGCTATTGGTTTTCTAATGAGCCCCAGGGACATCTGCCCGGCGGGGGGCTGAGTACCTAGGCTCAGGGCCAAGCCTCTGTATAAACTCATGTGATGCTTACGACAATCCTGCTTAGACCATCACCATTTTGCAGAGGAAGAAACCAAGCTGGGGAAGAGAGGGAGCCCACGCACGCGGCCCGCAGGGGCAGGGCAAGGGCGGGAAGCCGGGCGGTCTGCCGTGGATGCTCCTCGCGCAGGAAGGCGCCGCTATGGCCATTTATGGACAGTCAGTCCGCAGTCTGACCCGCAAAGCATTGTCCAGGCGAGCTGGGAGGAGGCCAGGGAGGTCCTTTCCAGTAGCTCCATTTTGCCCCGCGCCCTATTTTAGACCTGTGGGTAATTACTTATTTAGTTTGTTGGCCCCGACGCTGGACCCGGAGCCCCCCCGTGGCCAGTGATGTGTAAGTGAAAAGAACACGCAGGCGGGAGTCGGCCAGCCAGCACCTTCGCCAGCCCTGTAACTTTGAACATCGTTCTGAACCTCATTTTCCACTTGGGCAAAGTGAAGAGGCGCAGGCCTGGGAGGAGGGATTGTGGGAGGGGGTGAACAACAGAAGGTATGTGCCCGGGACGCAGAGGCCGCTCAGGAAATGCCCGTTCCGTGTGGTCCCTTTGGGAGTAAGCGTGCACCTTGCTCCTGACCCTCTCGCCCCAATGAGTGCTCAGGAAAATACGCCGATTCAGTGAACGCAGTGCCAGCAAAAGGAACTTTTCATTCTTGTCGATTTTTAGCAGAATGAGGCCTCCATGAGGAATATTGAGCATCTTCTTCTCCAGGTTCCGGCAGCCAAGGTCGGGGAAGGGCGGGTCCGCGCGCGGGTCCCGCGCAAACCCAGGGATCCCTGAGCCCGGGCGGGGGAGGTCTGCACCCGCGAGGGCGCCGCCGGGCCTCGCGAAGCCGCCGCGGCCGGCAGAGGGCGCCCCGGGGCCGCCGAGCTCGCGGTGCTGGGTTGGGGCGCTCCGGCGCGCGGGGCGCAGGCGGCAGGCCCGCGGTGGCCGAGGCGCGCGAGGCGCCCGCCGCCGGGGCGGAGCTGGTGAGCGCACCCGCCAGGCGCGCCTGTGCGCGGAGCCCGCTCGGACAGCGAGAGCGGTGAGTACAGGCGCCGCGGCCCGCCTCGCCCTCCCTGGGGACACCCGGAGACCGCGCAGGTCGGACGCAGGCCGTTCAGGGCTTGGTGTGCGTGGACGGTGGGCAGGGCCCCAGCTTGCTTCGGTCTTTGGGAAGGGCTTGGGGTCTACCCCGGGGGACGTCGGCCGAGCCTCGCTTTCAGGCTTACCCGAGGTTTGAACACGGGGATTTGTCTGGAGGGCCGTGTCGCGCGCTGTCCGGGGGTCCGGGGGTCCGGGGGTCCGAGGGCCCGGGGGTCGGCCGGACCCCAGGGCTTGCGAGCGCTCGCCCGGGCTTACCCCCCGCCCCCAGCGCCGCCCCCAGCACCGCCCCCCTGTCCCCCGCCGCCCCCTCCAGGGAACCACGTGCGGCTGTCGCCCGCAACTCTGCCTGTCAAGCGGAGCCCGCCCCCAGGGCAGGGGAGGGGACGCGCGGGCGGGGTGGGCCGTGCCCCGCGGGAACCCGGCTGGCCCGCGCGCCCTCCGGTGCCAGCTCGGCTCACTCTGCCTGCGCTCCCACGGGCTCCCGGGAGGTAGCGGACGGCGCGGCGGGAGGCGCAGAGCCCTGCCCCGAGGGGCCGAGAGAAAGGAGCGGAGACAGCCACTGTCCAAGCGGGTAGCCCCGGAGGGGGCCTTTCCCCTGGGAAAAGCCCTTTCCCCGGGCGCCTCAGCCTTTGAACGACCTTTAGCCGTTGGAGGCAGCAGGGCCGCGCCGGCCCTCGGGGACCTGGCCTGGGACCATTTCCCAAACCTGTCCTCCGATTTTTGCGCGTCAGGAGCCAGCCCCCGGCTGCGCCCGCCAGGCAGGAGGCAGGAGGCGGGAGGCGGGAGGCGGGACGCGGGACTCGGGCGCACCTCCGGGGCGTCGTGGAGCTGCGGCGCCCAGCGAAGCCGCTTTCCGAGCTCTGGGGCTTTGGGAGAGACAAGCTCAAGGCAAGGCAAGGTAGGTGGCTCGGACCGAGTGGACGTGGGTCTGATACGGGTAAAGCTGCGATCTGCTCAAGTCCTGGCGAACAATCTTTGCGTTCTTTTTGCTTTTATAGGACGTTTGGAGAGCTGCCGTGGAGCTGGGGCTTGGAGGAGTGAGGCATGTATTTTCAGCTGCACCTTCTAAAGGGGGAGACTCTGTCACCACCAGAGAGGCAACAGCTCCCAAACATGACTACAGATGACTAGACCCACAGAGGCCTGGGAGTCTCTGGATTGATAGTTTAGAATATGCTAAAAAGCCAGGGCTTTCCACGGAGAATTGAAGGGGCAGCTGGTCAACACGACAGCGACCTGGAGCAAGGGAGTCAGAAGACAGTTGTAGCAAGCAAGACGGACCTTCCGAGGGGCTGACTTGGGTCGCTGAGGGCAGGCTCCTGCCACCCAAACTGTTGCAGCCCTGTGATGGTGAGGTCCTCCACCCGGGGGAGCGAGTGGGGCTGTGCAAGGGGGCTGCCTGGTGAGTGAGAACTCCTGCAGGTCTGCCTGCCCCCTAATCCCTGCTTAGGAACTGGAGGGTGTCAGAGCCCCCTGTGTGCTCTCCCTCAGCAATATGAGGACTCTGAACACCTCTACTATGGATGGGGCTGGGCTGGTGGTAGAGAGAGACTTCTCATTCCGCATCCTTACAGCCTGTTTCCTGTCTCTGCTCATCCTGTCCACACTGCTGGGGAACACACTGGTCTGTGCCGCTGTCATCAGGTTCCGACACCTGCGGTCCAAGGTGACCAACTTCTTTGTCATCTCCTTGGCCGTGTCAGATCTCTTGGTGGCCGTCTTGGTCATGCCCTGGAAAGCGGTGGCGGAGATCGCTGGCTTCTGGCCCTTTGGGTCCTTCTGTAACATCTGGGTGGCCTTTGACATCATGTGCTCCACTGCGTCCATCCTCAACCTCTGTGTGATTAGCGTGGACAGGTATTGGGCCATCTCTAGTCCCTTCCGGTATGAGAGGAAGATGACCCCCAAGGCAGCCTTCATTCTGATCAGCGTGGCGTGGACCTTGTCTGTACTTATCTCCTTCATCCCAGTGCAGCTCAGCTGGCACAAGGCAAAACCCACAAGTTCCTCCGATGGGAATGCCACTTCCCTGGGTGAGACCATGGACAACTGTGATTCCAGCTTAAGCAGGACATATGCCATTTCATCCTCCCTAATAAGCTTTTATATCCCCGTGGCCATCATGATTGTCACCTACACCAGGATCTATAGGATCGCCCAGAAACAAATACGGCGCATTTCGGCCTTAGAGAGGGCAGCAGTCCATGCCAAGAATTGCCAGACCACTACAGGTAATGGAAACCCTGTGGAGTGTTCTCAACCAGAAAGCTCCTTTAAGATGTCCTTCAAGAGAGAGACTAAAGTTCTGAAGACTCTGTCTGTGATCATGGGGGTATTTGTGTGCTGCTGGCTTCCTTTCTTCATCTTGAACTGCATGGTGCCCTTCTGTGGGTCTGGGGAGACCAAGCCCTTCTGCATTGATTCCATCACCTTTGATGTGTTTGTGTGGTTTGGGTGGGCTAATTCCTCCTTGAACCCCATCATTTATGCCTTTAATGCTGATTTTCGGAAGGCATTTTCAACCCTCTTAGGATGCTACAGACTTTGCCCTACAACGAATAATGCCATAGAGACGGTTAGCATCAATAACAATGGGGCCGTGGTGTTTTCCAGCCATCATGAGCCTCGAGGCTCCATTTCCAAGGACTGCAATCTGGTTTATCTGATCCCACATGCAGTGGGCTCCTCCGAGGACCTCAAGAAGGAGGAGGCAGGTGGAATGGCCAGACCCTTGGAGAAGCTGTCCCCGGCCTTGTCTGTCATATTGGACTATGATACTGATGTCTCTCTAGAGAAGATCCAGCCCGTCACACAAAATGGACAGCATCCAACCTGAACCCTGAGATGAATCCAGGATGAAGCCAGACAGGCTTATCCCAAAAGCTGGAGGAGATTTTCAGTGGCTTGCTGTTAAGAAACTAAGGTGTGGTGAGACTCAGATGTCAGGCAAGCCCTCCTCTCTCTCTGCTGCTTCCCCTCAGCTACTCCCTTCAACAACTAACTATATTTTAAAATCCATTCCAGTGTGTTTTCTGTGTTGTTCATAGTGAATCAAAGAGACATATGCGAAGTGAACGTTCACAGGGACGTGTCTTAGGCTCCAAAATTATTTTTAGAAACCGATTCTTATCTTAGGACTCAAAAAATAGGGCACAGAATCAACAATGAACAGCATCGCTTAAAAAATAAATCCTTTCCAGGAAGGAAATGAGAAGGGTTGAGTTTGCTGTGTACAAACAGGTGCTAACACTGGCCCAAGCAGACTTTTCAGATTGTAAAGGTAGGTGCATGCCTTCATAAATTATTTCTAAAACATAATTGAGCCTTACAGTAGGAGTGATATTTTTTTCAGACTTGAGAGATGCTTTGTTGTAATTGGTTTTATTTATTTATTTATTGTATTATATGGATATTTTTAATTTATTAAATAAATCTATATTTATCAGATGTCATAAGATAAGCTAATGAGTTATCTGAGACCTTACAGTCACATTTCGTCCACTTAAAACTAGCACTTTATTGGCCAATGAAACAAACACACAAACTCTCTGAGATTCTAAATGCTCATGTATAACTTCCAGAAACACAGCAAGACTGACAGCAAATTCATTGGCATAAATAAATACAAGATGAGAATTGACAAATGCTGTGAATGGATTTTTTTTCTAGAAAATGTTTGAAAAACTTAAAAAGGCGTAGCTACTATTGTGTCCAAATTTTTTTAATGACAAAGACTTTCCCAGGAGAGTGATTTGCAGTTCTGTAAATATCTTAAATAAAAGCTAGCTTGAGAAGGACCCAACTTGCAATTTATGACCTTAGGTGGTAATAAAAAGTATGTGCCACTTTGTATTTATGTAAAATAATTGGCCCTCTGTGTCTTTTCTCATTTCAGTGTCAGGTAGTTTTTCTGAACCAAACAAATGGCTGTCCTGGTTAGACACATGTAGTGTATTGAAGATAGTATGTTTCCTTAACTCTTGCGTTACAGTCTCACCAGTGGACAAAGGTCAAATCCTGCATCACCATCTTACCAGATCAAATCCCACCACTCATTGGGACTACTTTTTTGTAGTGCTTTAATCTGAATTTAGAACTGTTTTTTTTTTTAAGTCTAAATGTTAATAGTATACTAACTAACGAATAGTGCCTCATTATCATCCTCCAGTTAGATACTTCTCTTGGTGGAAGAAACAGGAGACCCCTTCTCTTTGGGTGTGTTAAGTGCCCCAAAGCCATCAGTATCTTTTGACAAATGCTAGCTCCTTCTCTATGCTTTGGAATCAAGTTCCTAGCTCATCATCTCAACTGTATAAAGTATCATGAGTCTCTCCTGCCAGATACTCATTCATGTGGGGCATTTCAAGAGAATTTCTTTGAAATGTTTACAGAATATTCTTGCTGATAAGCAATTTACTTAGCATTTAGATGAAATGGGTAACAAGAAGGAAATCCACTGAAAATTATCTCCTGCATCAGGTCTGTGTTATTTATGCATTGTGAATGTTTCTTCATTTTATTGCCTGTATGCTTTCTTACATATAATAAAACTATTTTGTGAACTCTAATCAACCCTGAATGAGCTGTGTCCTATTTGTTAAGTATGTTTTAGAAACTGAGCTATTTCAGACCTATGGGGGAAGAAAACATGGGCATTTCCGAGGATACCCTACTCTTGTTTTTCTTTTTAATAGAAATTTCTCCTGTTATGTATGCCACAGGTTGCTTTTGAATATTTACCCAGGAAATCTTTTTGATTTGGACTATACACTCTTTGGGGTTTTTTTTTTTTTTGGTCTTAAAAGCATTTTTTAAAAAAGAAACTCTCTTCGCTTGAGGAATTATTCTACTTTTCATTTCACAGATTTGAAAGCTTTCTTAAACCTCTGCTTTTTTCTTTCAAAGGGTCCAAAGATAATAAGTAATATAAAAATCACATAAAGACTGTGGCTTGCTGTGTGTTGCATGGACCTTCAGCTTATGGCAACCACTATATTTATGGGTAGTGTTTGTTTTAAGAGTAAAATATAACAAGAATTTCTTTCTGGGGAAAATATACAGGTTGTGATGTTGGGCTTATCAAAATATCCTACTGGGCATATGCATCAATCCTACTAAACCTGCTTCATTAATGTGCTAACCTTTTTTTTTTTTTAATTCATCCTGAAGAAGGAGAACTACTGAACAGCAGGGGATGTAGAAATTAAGGGTTAAGTTTATAATTTGGAACATCACACAACAGATGGTGTCTTTTTAAATTCCATATTTGCCTTCCCCAGGCTTTGGCATATAATGAACATATCTAGAATGAACACCCATAAAGCATGATGCCTCTTCTTTCTGCTTCCTGACTTTCTGGATATCTTCATTCTTTGCAGTTTAATTTTATTCTTTAATTGGGAGTCCAGCAGCACCAGCTGGGATACTCAGGGTTATTTGTCCAACCAATGAAACATGGCACAAAAGCCTTCATTATTTCATTGGCAGAGAGAAAAATAAATGATATGCCTAGAAATGATATTAAAGAATTGTCAAATGCAGTATACTGTGGATGAGACTGTGCTTTCGGTTCCTGGCCTGCAGGATTGATAACAGTATCTTTTGAAGTGTTGATTTTTACTGATAGAATCTTTCAGAGAACTTAATTTGCAGCCACAAAAGCAAAATTACAGTATGATTTTCATTTCATTTTTAGCTATCATGATAATGCTAAATATATATGAAACACTTTAGCAAGACAGAGACAATTTAAAAGAGGTGTTCTGGGGTGCCTGGCAGGCTGTCAGTTAAGTGGCTGCCTTGGGCTTGGGTCATGATCCTGGGGTCCTGGGATATGGCCCCACGTTGGGCTCCCTGCTCAGCGGGGAGCCTGCTTCTCCCTCTGCCCCTCCCCCAGCTTGTGCTGGCGCTCTCTCTCACTCTCTCTCTCAGATAAACAAATAAAATCTTAAAAAAAAATAAATAAATAAAAGAGGTGTTCTTTTCCCCTTTCTATCTAAGAAGATACCTCTCCTGGTCAAATAGATACAGGGCTTTTACTGGTGATGGAAAAACAGGAAGTCCTATGGAAGGGGGACTGAGCTCTGAGTTTCAGCAGGTAGATTTGGGGTGGGGGTGGAAAAGACACTGCTTTCTCCTGGGATGTAAGCAGTTCCAGTCTCTGAGTCTTACTTGTCCTAATTTATTAAACGGAAGGAACAAAATGTCTGCATCAACTTCTTTACTGAAGGGATTCCTCCACAAAGCAAATCAATATGTGATCCAACTTCAGGGACTTTCCGATTTCTCCACTCTCTGGGAGCTCCAGCATGACTCCCGCCCCTGCCTGCACCAGCAGCATTTTGCCTTGATCCTTCCCTCCCTAGGAGCCAGTTCACACGTGGGGGCCTGGAAGGCAGAAAACACAGGCTTTGTTTCAGAGAGACGTGGGTTCACCTTGCAGCTACCACTTTCAAGCTGTGTAAGAGTAAACAAGTATCTGTACTCTCTGAGCCTGCTCACCCCTTTGTGACACGGAAATAAATGTGCAGGTTCTCGTTAGGGTTTTGTTTTGCTTTCTCGTTAGGGTTTAAATAAAGCTAATGTTTATAAGGGTACAGAGCAGTGACATATTGGGCTCACTGATTTCTTACAGGATCTCTATTTTGAAGGGGTTGATGACAGTATTTATCGCATTGGTAATAACGTAGCTGCTTTTCATTTGTCCTCTTGCATGTTTACTTGAAACAAACAGAAATGACTTTTAGAAGTTGTGGTTTGGTGGGAATCCCTGGGTGGCTCAGTGGTTTAGCATCTGCCTTCAGCTGAGGGCGTGATCCTGGAGTCCTGGGATCGAGTCCCACATCAGGCTCCCTGCATGGAGCCTGCTTCTCCTTCTGCCTGTGTCTCTGCCTCTCTCTCTCTCTGTGTGTGTCTCATGAATTAGAATTTATATATATATATATTAGAAGTTGTAGTTTGGGATTTTCCCAGACACTGTTCTCTTTTGCTGTATCTGGTATTCCAAAAGCAAGTGGCTTTTAATATCTGTGTGGTTAAGACATTTGCCTTAATTTATCACTAGATACTGACTAAATAAACCCATCCCTGATGTTTGAGCCTATGAGATCTACTTACCTTGCAAAATTTGTTTCAGGAATAATGAGCTGATGGCTGGTTGCCTCTGGGCTGCTAAAACCAAAACCTGGTGCTCTGCATGATCTGGCTACTGTCAGTTTGAAGTAACTAACCCAGTGGATCATGAGATTGTAGTATTATATAGATTAGATACATCTCTGTGGATTTCTTTGAGATTTCCTGGATAGAAACATGACATAATCAACCTGTTTATTTTTATAGAGGATTGAGGGGATGGGAAGTATTATGGCACAGAGAACCCCTCTAAGATTTTGTTACCAGGCCAATCTAGCCATGTTGCCTTCTGTCATGTATGGTAACTTCCATGTGATGTACAGAATAAAAAAGAAATTTTTTTTAAAAAAAAGGAAAGCAGCATTTCGACTTCAGACTGTTACATCACTCAAGATCTGGGAGTTGTAATTTAAATAGTATTAGAAGCTCAAGAATAATCTCTGGTTTAAAAGGGTTTAACTTTTTAATCACTATGCAAGCATGGACAAAACCACTTAAATTCTCTTTCATGTTTCTAGAATAGATAGCCTACTCACTCTCAAAATTGGTAAATGTTTTTAGCCACTAAAGAGGATCTTCCCTGAAATATGTCTGCAGAAGTGAACCCACCTAGCAGAAATGCCAGCATAGTGGCAGATAGTAGTGGGATCTAGGAGGACTGAGTTGAGGGGCCGAGATTTTTTTTATTTCATTCACAATGTTTTAAAAAGATAAATAGTTTGGATAAGCTCCTTTACATCCCTTGAAAATAGTTTTTTTCATCTCTGCAATAAGGGGGTTAGAAGAGGTGATTTCCGAGATATTATTTTGGCTTGACGATACTAAATGTGAGATCCATGGACAACACATGAGTCTGGTATGTTTTCCCTGACACATTTCCCAAGCCTATAGAGGTTTGCTATTAGTATGCTAACAGAGTGATATTTATAAAATGCAAATATCACTTTACTATACCCTTGCTTAATATTCTTCAATGACTCCCCGTTTCTTTCAGGCAAAAGAAGTCAAGCTCGTGCAAGGTCCTTTGCACTCAGGCCCCTTGTGGCTTCTGTAACCTTGTCCATTGGCATTACCCCACTAGCACTGTTGCTACAGACACTCTGAACTATGTAGTGTATAAAGTCCTTTCTTGTCTTTAACACCTTTGTGCATGCTGTTCCTTCTGCCTGAAACACCCTTCCCTGCTACTTCTGTTTGCCTGATTCCACCAATGTTTTAAGATTCTATGGGGCATACTTGCAGAAGGCCTTCCTTGGCATCTCTTTCCTGTCTCTACTTATTTCTTTCTAAGGACTTACCCTACTGTCATGAATAATATCCTTATTTCCTTATCTTTCTCTCTAGATTATGAGCATTTTGAGCAAAAACTTTTATTTTCTTTCCCTTTCTCTAAATATTTCTAAGCACCCAGATCACTGTCTGGCTTACAGGATTTGCCCATGAAATCTTTGTTGAATGAAAGAATGAACATGTCAAAACAGAGGATGTTGGAGTCACACAGTTGTAGATCTGCTAGGCTGTCCCTAATGTCTTTGATCTCTCTAATCTCCATGTGGTCACTGAGGCCTGCAGTTCCCTGGGGTCTGATATGTTTGCATACAGTCATTGTGTACACACACATGCACACACACACAAAGTGTGTTTTGTATATGATTTGATGCTATTTGCAATCAGCAACCTTTTTTTTTTGAGTACTTTCTATGATCCAGGTCATATGCTGGATGCTAGAAATGAACCAGACACCCTTCCAATCTTCGAGGAGTTTGAAGTAGAGACAGATAGGCAAATAAGCCATCAAAGAATGTTGTAAAAGTAAAATGTATGGAGAGAGTAAATATTTTCTCCCAGGCAATGCCAATCATTGTGCCAGTGACCATCTGCCCATATCATGCCACGCAGTGTCCATTCACTGTCTCATTTCATCCTCTCAGCCATCCTGGGATGCGGCACCGTTATAATCACCCCCACTTTACATATCAAAATAACAAATATCAGAGGGGGCATGCAGTGTGTCCAAGTTCACACAGCTAGTAAATGATGGAGCTGGCTTGAATCTAGGTCCCAGAGGCTGTCAAATTATTTGCTTTGAGGTGGTCTCCACCTCAGTGGCCTCCTTCAGTGTATCTGGACAGTTAGCCAGGTGGTCTGGTGATAATTGTTGGGCATGCACACAAGCCCCTCGTCTACACCCTCCCTGCAGCCCTGTGCACCTGTTTGCTGTTCTCAAATAGACTCTGATGGCACCCCTTTGCTCTTCCTCTGATTGGGACACCCTTTCTCCTGTCGTCTTTACTTTTTTGAGCCTCCTCTCAGGTGTCAGCCTTACTGGGAATCCTTCTCTGGCCCTTCT